AGGAGCCCAAAGGGCAAAGGAATGCTGACCTGCGCGGGCGCGTCGGGGCAGTCGGCGGGCGAGGGCAGCGGCGGCGCGAGGGCGCGGGCGTGCTGCTCCTCGGAGGGCGGCGGCGGCGCCGACGCCAGCTGGCGCGAGCTCAGCAGCAGGAAGACGCGCTCCAGGCTGCCGCAGGAGAAGCGCGCCGTCAGGCGGTCGGGCGCGTCCTCCGCCAGCAGCCGCCCGCCGCGCATCAGCCCCACCTGCGCACGCGCACGCACCAGTCAGCCGAAGCACTCAGTTGGTTTTTAGAAAGTTTGTTAAAGAGAAAACAATTGGGTGTGTCAATGTCAACAATCTGCGCACGTTGACTGAAGCTCTAGAATCGCTACGCCACCATTGTGCTAGACATAGGTAAATGATGAATAAAAGATCCAACAAAGACAAGTTAGTTACATTTGAAAAATTGGAAACTTTCGCTCCTGAGTCATAGAACATTTATTTGTGTCCGTAAATGAAATTAGATTTGATTTTTAGCTGTTACTACCAAAATAGCAACCCCCCGCACTTCTCCTACTATTCATTCGTAACGGAAATAATTTCATATTCCTTTACTGTTATTAATATTATTAAATTGACTCAGTATCTTAGCTGCAGAGGCATGTTTCCACCTTCTCAACTTCATGCTTTCATCTTTTATGTGTGGCCTCTCGCGGTTCCTTACTTTTTCGTTCACGATTTTAGGTTTTTCTTTGTTTCTTCTTCACTGTAGCTTGTTTTTGAGACTATATGAATACTCCGTTATTCTTTTAGAAACTATTGACTAATTATTTATTAGCAAATCAATAGTACCCGATTAATCGAATATTCATTTCTCAAACTTTACAAAGTGCCGTAGCTGTTAGTACTGAGACGGTAGTACTGCCCTCTTCATCAGCAATTGATAAATCGACTTTTGGAAAAATTACCCGAGATAGGAAGGAACGCATAAAGAAGAAACCACCCGCTTCCGAGCCTGGCCCCACATTTTTTGGGAAGGATCGGCCGTTGCTCGGTGACACTGGCGTACAATGTGGAGTACTAAGGCTACCGGTGGTAAATTATGAGGTCCGAGAGTATTATGAGGATGAAAATATTTCAAGATAATTTATATTAAAAAATTATAGACCACATTCGTTTTCAATTACACTCATAACCATCACATAATTTCAAAAATATGTATAGTTACTAGGCGTTAAGCTTTGTATTAAATCGCCCGCTCGACGGCGCATCTGCGAGGCGACAGCACCTAAGAAACAGCCGCGAACGGAGAAGCGGCTACCCGCGTTCTTCGCACGACTCGCCACTCGCACCCGAGAGCTTACCCTAACCGGGTTCTTGACACGTTCGGAGGCAGGGGGAGTACGCTGGATGTGCTCCTTGCAAGACTTACACGTTTAGTGCCGGTGTAAAAATATTAGAGATGCAATTAAGCGGGCTTTAACTTTTAAATTGGAACATATTAAGTATACGTTAGGGTCAAAATATACTATTGTTGTTTTTGGTCAGCTCCCAATTTTGAGAAAACCTCACCGCAATCTTCGGGAAGTGTATATGTCGACAATATGTGCATTATGCAGTGTATATTAGAGTTGGCTTTTAACAGTCGTTGGCATAGCGAGATATTGGTAGTTGTAAACATGGACAAACCTTCACCGCACACAAATTTGTCTGTGGATATTAAACAAAAAAAGACGAGAGTATCAACGCCACTTCTCGTCATGTTTGTGTGATAAATGGAAAATAAATTATTTGTTATTTGGAAATTAAGTGGCGGCCCAGATCATGAAACCAGTTTATGTCACTGCTCGCAAAGGATTTCATTATTCTTAGAATACTTAGAATAGGATCTACTTACGGAGAACGCTAATATGGCGAATCGGGGTATGCTAGTCGGCGGTGTTAGTCACTCTCAACGAAAAAAGATGTGGTGTTATAAAATGTAGGCGTATTTTCGTCCAAACTTACGGTGTGCGCTTGCTTGGATTCCTCGATGTAATGTGTTGTTATTATCACACTCTTGTCTCCTGTTTTAGTGATTTCCACGAGATAATCCCAAATGCTGAAAAATATAGATTCTAATTAAATAAGGTTTTTTCCAGGCCAATAAGACCAATAGTAGAAGTCAAAGAACACATATGATATATTTTCATAAAAAGTTTGTGTCAATCATGCTAAGTTTAGCGCTCTGCGTTTGAATCTTACATTCGTACCAAAACAGTAGGGAAGACATTTCAGTACAAAACTGCATATTGCTGTTTGTTAATCCTCAGAAAGGACCGTTGTCAATGCTCTAGCAGAAGGCGGGACAGTAAGAGGAAATGTGCGTATGTGGTGCGGAGTGGCGGGGAGAGGGGAGCAGAGCGCGGCCGGGGGGGAAGGCAGTGCTGTGGCCTGATGGACGGAGCGGGATGAGGTGGCGCGGTACGTAAGGAGGCGTGGGTAGGAGCGGGCGTCGTGTGACGCGGCGAGGGTTGCATTCATTGATTAGTGTCCCCAGGCTGCTGTGGTCTTTAGTCCTGTTGGTGCAGAGCATATTTTTGTCAGGGGAGGTGGGGTTGATTTTACTCCGATGGATGGTGAGATCCGCCAACGACCTACCTCTCGGAGCTCGCTGCGTTTTCCTCATCCGGGTGTCAGGGGAGGGAGGCGCGATGGGGTGGGGTGAGGAGTGGTATGGCGGGTGTGGCGAAGTGGGAGCAGGTGAGGCGGAGCGTGGGCTGAGATGGCGGGGTGGGGTGAGGCGTGTCGAGGCGAGGCGTGGCGTGTCGAGGCGTGGCGAGACGTGGCGAGGCGTGGCGAGGTGTGGCGAGGTGTGGCGAGGCGTGGCGTGGCGTGGCGTGGTGAGGCGGCGGAGTGGAGCGAGGCGTGGTGTGGCGTGGCGTGGAGGAGTGAAGTGTGGCGAGGCGTGGCGAGGGGGAGCGTGGAGTGGGGTGGCGAGTGGGGGGTGGCTCACCTGTGTCGCAGCACGGGGTCCACGCCTACCGTGGGCTCGTCCAGCACCAGCAGCTCGGGGTCGTGCAGCAGGGCCGCCGCGAAGGACACACGCCGCTGCTGCCCGCCACTGCAGCACAAGCATTGCTCGCTCGCACCGCTCTGCGTTGCCCTCGTATCAGGGAGTGCCAGTTGCACATTATAACGTATTTACTTATTACAATGATCGTAAATAATTGATGCCGCAACACTGGTTGGGTGAATCTTATCAGAAATCGTGACCTCGATGGGGCTCGATATTCGTTTTATATTCATTCAAATAATATAGTCATTTTTAAGAATTATTTAAGAAACAACACCAAAAAAAGTAAGTTAAATTGAGTTATTTAAAAATGAATTCCAGGTGGTTATACAAAAATCAATGATAATGTACTAACTTCTTTCAATGAGAAGTATCTCTTTAGTCAAATATTGAAATATTATGTAATATAATAAAAATAATATGTTCATATTCTTGAATTACTGTGACGTATATAAAATAATTGAATGTTATTGCAAAAAATATAATTCTGTGTAAATGAAAACACACGATAAAATATTTCATAAATTAAAAACATAATGAAGTACTATTTTCATGGAAAGAAATTCAAATTCAAAATTTATAATATAGAATTTTATAGAATAACTGCGACAACTTGCTTTTTCTCGTATTGGTATTTGTATAGGAGTTGACTCACCTGTACTCTTACACCTGTGTCCTCATCTAATTTTGTCGCAGGTTTACTCAAAATAATTTGCATTAGTTGTATCCCGTTATTGTGTAACCATTCCGCCATTTGATGTGAAAAATATCCGAGTTCAGGTAAGCTACCTTCCGATTTTTCGTGAATGTTAGAGATATATTCATTGTCTTTGAGTAGTATTTTTGAAGTAAGTTCATTGCAAAAACTGAAATTTTCTCAGAATACACGATATTTTCGCAGTTTACTGCCAAAAGCCACAAATATTAGGCTGAGGTCTTTTTAAACATAAAAATGAACTATGTGACAATTTTTTGCGCAGAAGAATCTGTGTACACGTGTCCGACAAAATTTACTCTTGAATTAATATTCCGTTGTAAAAAGGTATTATTTTCTCCAGGGAATGAAATGTAAAAATTAATCGGTGGCAAAGAGAACCCCTGTGGTTCCATATTCTAAATGCCTAACAATGCAGCCCGGAGCAGGCGATAGACTCTGTTCCAGAGCCCAGGCCATTGTCAGCGTCAACAACATAAAAGTAGTTTCATTTCACTGGTTAGACGGAAGAGCAGGCCTTTCCACTAATGTACACTCTATGAGAGAGAGATTTCTGGCTCTCGACTGTCGAGAGGATGTGGCGACACCAATAGTATATCATTCAGTGTTCTTGAGATCAAATGCATTGCAATGGTCGCAATATGACGGCCGAAATTGGAAAATTGCGTAGAAAGCATCAACCCGGTCGCGTACTTTTTTAAGCAAAAAAAGCAGATGCATGTGTATAAATAGAACACGTGTGAATATGCATATTAGGTAAAATTATTTTTAGTAATACCCGTACAAACATGAGCAAAGTGAATCGTGTTGGCCCGTATCTGCATTTTGGTATATAAAGCGTTGGAAATTTTCCGTTGTCTCAATGCAAGAACTTTATATAATCGCGTAAAAGAGAGGGCGGCCGTGTGTGTGTGTGTGTGGGGGGGGCGCACCTGAGCTTGGCGACGCGCGTGTCCGCGCAGGGCAGGTGCAGCAGCTCCAGCAGGCGGTCGGTGCGCTCCTCGATGGCGCCCGGCCGCATGCCCACGAGCGTGCCGAAGTAGAACAGCGTCTCAGCGATGCTGAACTCCATGTACAGCGCCAGCTCCTGCGCAACGCCGCCTCTGACATCAGCTCACACGTTGCACGTGTGGTGCAGTGCATGATTGTGCGAGTAAGGTGTGAGGAGAGGACATGGAAGAGGAAGGAAAGATCGCGCGCTGTCCGTTTCCCGTTTGTCAGGGTACTGCTCCGGCATTCGCCTGGTGTTGATCGGAGAAACAACGTTAAAATTACCGGTCGCGTCGCGTTGGCGGGATTTGAAGCGAACGGATGCCCAAGAACGTCCTATTTCTCCATGAATGAACCGCGAAATGGAGAGTGGTGCCCGCTGGGAGGGGAGTGGCGTTGCTCGCGGCATGCGTGCTCGTTACGTCATTGGCGGGCAGAGGGCGTGGCCGCGCGCTTTCCCTCGGCGCCGCTTCCGCTCCGCGGCGCACGCAGCCAGGCTGCGCCTTCGGGCATTGACATTGCCAGGAAACTAGAGCTTCATTCTTCTTAATAATGTTTGTAACGGTTACTCGTCTTATAGTACAGCAACTCCTTCCCCACTTACACATCTCTTGAAGACCGATCTCCAAGACTTATCTTCTCCCAACGAATCGCGAAAGATTCGAAGAAAATCATATATAATATTCTATTGCTATGCTCTTTGAAACCAAAAGGTACGAGGAGAGGCGGGGCGATCGCGGATAACGCGATGCGGTGCGTGGGAGAAAGCGTGAGACGGGGCGAAACGAACACATGATAAAGAATAGCAGTTGCTGATATGATGTTGCAGGATGGTGCAGTGTCAGGCGACAATGGGGGAGGATTAACGCGAGTTTGAGCGAGGTAAGGCGGGAGGGGGGAGACATGGACAGAGGCGGGAGTGAGGAGGGGCGGCGTAAGGAGGAGGAGAGAGCAGGGCGAGTGAGGAGGGGCGATGAGGCGGGGCAGAGTGAGTGCGGGTGGAGTGAGGCGGGGCGGAGTGAGGCGGGGTGGAGTGGCGGCGGGAGGAGTGAGGCGGAGGACGTTGAGGCGGGGGGATGTGAGGCGGGGCGGAGTGAGGCCGGGGGGTGGAGTGAGGCGGGGCGGAGTTGAGGCAGGACGGAGTGTTTAGGGCGGGCGGAAGTGAGGGCGGGGCGCGTGAGCGAAGGGGCGGGAGTGAGGAGGGGCGGAGTTAGGAGGGTGGAGATGAGGCGGGCGGAGTGAGGCGGGGGAGTGAGGAGAGGTGGAGGCGGGTGAGGCGTGGGCGGAGTAGAGGAGGGCGAAGTGAGCGCCAGTGAGGAGGATAAGGAGGAGGGGGGGAGTGAGGCGGGGCGGAGGAGCTCAGGAAGTGAGGAGGGTGGATGAGGCGGGGAGTTGGAGGGGGAGGAGGGTCGGCAGGGGGTGAGGGAGGTGAGAGGATGGGACGGGGTAGGCGGAGTGAGGGGGGCGAGTGAGGGGGGCGGAGTGAGGCGGGGCGGAGTGGAGGAGGGGGCGAGTGATGGCGGGGCGGAGTGGAGGCGGGGCGGAGTGAGGAGGGGGGAGTAAGTGGGGGGTGAGGCGGGGGCGGAGTGAGGCGGAGGTAGGAGCGGAGTGAGGGGGCGGAGTGAGAGAGGCGGAGTGAGGAGGGGCGGAGTGAGGAGAGGGGGCGAGTGACGGAGGCGGAGAGGAGGGGGCGGAGTGAGGCGTGGGCGGAGTGGGCGGGGGCGGGGAGTGAGGAAGGGTGGAGTGAGGCGGGGGGAGTGAGGGCGGGGCGGAGTGAGGCGGGGCGGAGGTAAGGAGGGGCGGAGTGAGGCGGGGCGGGTGGGGGGCGGAGTGAGGAGGGGGGAGTGAGGAGGGGCGGGAGGAGGAGGGGCGGAAGTGAGGAGGGGCGAGTAGGAAGGGGCGGAGTGAGGAGGGGCGAGTGAGGAGGGGGAGTGGAATGGAGGGACGGGAGTGAGGGGGGGCGGGGAGGCCGGGGCGGAGTGAGGCGGGGCGGGAGTGAGGAGGGCGGAGTGAGGAGGCGGAGGAGTGAGGGAGGGGGCGGGAGTGAGGCGGGGGCGGGAGTGGGCGGGGGCGGAGTAGGGAGGGGGGCGGAGTGAGGCGGGGGGCGGAGGGGAGGGGTGGAGGTGAGGCGGGGCGGAGTGAGGCGGGGCGGGTAAGGAGGGGCGGATAAGGCGGGGCGGGGAGTGGGAGGGCGGAGTGAGAAGGGGCGGAGTGAGGAGGGGCGGAGTTGGGAGGGGCGGATGGAGGAGGGGGCGGAGTGAGGAGGGGCGGAGTGAGGCGGGGCGGAGTGAGGCGGGGGGAGTGAGGCGGGGCGGAGTGAGGGAGGGGGTGGAGTGAGGCCGGGGGGGAGTGAGGCGGGGGGAGTGAGGGCGGGGGGAGTAGAGGGGCGGAGTGAGGGGGGCTGAGTGCAGGAGGGGCGGAGTGAGGAGGGGGGCGGAGTGAGGAGGGGCGGAGTGAGGAGGGGCGGAGTGAGGAGGGGGCCGGAGTGAGGGGGGGCGGGAGTGAGAGAGGGCGGAGTGAGGCGGGGAGTGAGGCGGGGCGGAGTTGAGGAGGGGTGGAGTGAGGCGGGGCGGGAGTGAGGCGGGGGAGTTGAGGCGGGGGGTACAGGAGGGGGATGAGGGGGGGCGGAGTGAGGAGGGGGGAGTGGGAGGGGCGGGTGAGGAGGCGGAGTGAGGAGGGGAGTTGAGGAGGGCGGAGTGAGGAGGGGCGGAGTGAGGAGGGGCGGGAGTGAGGGGGGGGAGTGAGGGCGGGGGGAGTAGAGGAGGGGTGGAGTGGAGGCGGGGCGGAGTGAGGGGGGGGGGCGGAGTGAGGCGGGGCGGAGTAAGGAGGGGCGGAGTGAGGCGGGGGCGGAGTGAGGGAGGGGCGGAGTGAGGAGGGGCGGAGTGAGGAGGGGCGGAGTGAGGAGGGGGGAGTTGAGGAGGGGGAGTGGGAGGGGCGGAGTGAGGAGGGGCGGGTGAGGAGGGGCGGAATGAGGAGGGAGGAGTGAGGCGGGGGGAGTGAGGCGGGGCGGAGTGAGGCGGGCGGAGTGAGGAGGGGCGGAGTGAGGAGGGGGGAGTGGAGGAGGGGCGGAGTGAGGCGGGGGGAGTGAGGCGGGCGGGGTAAGGAGGGGCGGAGTGAGGCGGGGCGGAGTGAGGCGGGGTGGAGTGAGGCGGGGCGGAGTGAGGCGGGGGGATAAGGGGGGCGGAGTAGGCGGGGCGGAGTGAGGGAGGGCGGAGTGAGAAGGGGAGTGAGGAGGGGGCGGTAGTGAGGAGGGGCGGAGTAAGACGGGACGGAGAGAGGCAAGGGCGGAGTGAGAGGGGCGGAGTGAGTAGGGGCGGAGTGAGGAGGGGCGAGTGAGGAGGGGCGGAGTGAGGAGGGGCGGAAGTGAGGAGGGGCGGAGTGAGGAGGGGGGAGTGGAGGAGGGGCGGAGTGAGGAGGGCGGAGTGAGGAGGGGCGGAGTGAGGAGGGGCGAGTGAGGAGGGGCGGAGTGAGGAGGGGCGGAGTGAGGAGGGGGGAGTGGGCAGGGCGGAGTGAGGAGGGGCGGAGTGAGGAGGGACGGAGTGAGGAGGCGGACGGAGTGAGGCGGGGCGGAGTGAGGCAGGGGCGGAGTGAGGAGGGAGGAGTGCAGACGAGGCGGCGGAGCTAGGAGGAGGGGCGGAGTGAGGAGGGGCGGAGGAGGAGGGTGGAAGTGAGGAGGGGCGGAGTGAGGAGGGGGGAGTGAGGCGGGGCGGAGTAGGAGGGCGGAGTGAGGCGGGGCGGAGTGAGGCGGGGTGGAGTGAGGGGGGCGGAGTGGAGGCGGGGGTGGGTGAGGAGGGGTGGAGTGAGGCGGGGGGAGTGAGGCGGGGGCCGGAGTAGGAGGGGGAAGTGAGGCGGGGTCCGGAGTGAGCGGAGGGGAGTGAGGAGGGGAGTGAGGGCGGGGCGGAGTAAGACGGGACGGAGTGAGGAGGGGGGTGAGGTCGGGGCGGGTGAGGAGGGGCGGAGTGAGGAGGGGGGAGTGAGGCGGGCGGAGTAGGGCGGGGCGGAGTGAGGAGGGGTGGAGTGGAGGCGGGGCGGAGTGAAGGCGGGGCGGAGTTGAGGTCGGGGAGCGGGTGAGGAGGGGCGGAGTAGAGGAGGGGCGGAGTGAGAGGGGGGGTGAGGGGTGGAGTGAGGGGGGTGGAGTGAGGCGGGGCGGAGTGAGGCGGGCGGGTAAGGAGGGGCGAGTGAGGCGGGGCGAGTGAGGAGGGGCGGAGTGAGGAGGGGCGGAGTGGAGGCCGGGCGAGTAAGACGGGCGGAGTGCGGAGGGGGGAGTGAGGGGGGCGGAGTGAGGAGGGCGGAGTGGAGGGAGGGGGGAGTGAGGAGGGCGGAGTGAGGGTGGGGCGGAGTAAGCGAGGGGGCGGAGTGAGGGAGGGGGCGGAGTGGAGGCGGGGAGGAGTAAGGAGGGGCGGAGTGAGGGGGGCGGAGTGAGGAGGGGCGGATGAAGGCGGGGCTGGAGTTGAGAGGGGCGGAGTGAGGAGGGAACGGGAGTGAGGCGGGCGGAGTGAGGGTTGGCGGAGTGAGGCGGGGCGGAGTGAGGGGCGGCGGAGTGGAGGAGGGGCGGAGTGAGAGGGGCGGAGGAGGAGGGGCGGAAGTGAGGGAGGGCGGGTGAGGAGGGGCGGAGTGAGGGGCGGGAGTGGAGGGAGGGGCGGGAGTGAGGAGGGGGGGAGGTGGGAGGGGGCGGAGTGAGGAGGGGCGGAGTGCAGGGAGGCGGGGGCGGGGAGTGAGGCGGGGAGGGGGGGAGTGGAGTCGGGGGCGGAGTAAAGGATGGGGGGTGGGATGTGAGGGCGGGGCGGAGTGGAGGATGGGTGGAGTGTAGGGCGGAGTCGCGGGGCGGAGTGAGGAGGGGTGGAGTGGGCGGGGGGGGT